GGCTTCTGGGTAATACCAGATGGCTAGGCCTCAGACTGACGAAGCCTCTTGGATGAGGGGCGAAACGTTTCTTTTTAACAAAAAAAACGAAGTCCAGATGACATGATTCAACCTTTTTTGTTGTTATATACCTGGATGACTGAGAAAACAAACTTTGTGTTTTTGAAACCATTAGTGAAAAGGCCAGACTTCAGGGGGATCTGAGGCAGGCTTGAAACACAAGAGTCAGGGTGGCTTCTGGGTAATACCAGATGGCTAGGCCTCAGACTGACGAAACCTCTTGGATGAGGGGCGAAACGTTTCTTTTTAACAAAAAAACGAAGTCCAGATGACATGATTCAACCTTTTTTTTTGTATATACCTGGATGACTGAGAAAACAAACTTTGTGTATCTTCTTTAGTTTTCACGTATTGAATCTTAACAAATTCATCAGTTTGATGAAACCACTTGTGTCTGGGCATGCTTGAAAGGAGTTATACAGAGTGACTATGAGAGTGGAGGAAGGAGTATGCAGGTCGACTACATTCTGTGTAGAAGAGGAAACCTGAGGGAGATTGGGGACTGTAAGGTTGTGGCAGGGGAGAACGTGGCCAGAGAGCATCAGATGTTTGTGTGTAGAATGACTGTTGATGTGAAGAAGAGAAAAAGAGTAAAATCAGAGAAGAAGACCAAATGGTGGAAGCCGAAGAAGGAAGAATATTGTGAGAAATTCAGAGAGGAGCTGTTAAAGGCTCTGGGTGGTAAGAAAGAGCTTCCAAATGACTGGGCTACTACAGCAACAGTAATTAGAGAGACAGGTAGGAAGGTACTTGTTGTGTCATCTGGACAGAAAATGGATAATAAGGAAACCTGGTGGTGGAATAGTTCAATTCAATTCAGTTCATTTATATAGCGCCAAATCACAACAAAATTGTCTCAGGGCAATTTACAGAGACATTCACATACATAAAAGCCAATTAATAAAGTTCTCTATCTAAGGAGGCCAGAAGACAAGTTGAATCTTGGCTTCGTTGCAGTCTCCTATCCTGAGCAAGCATAGTGGCAACAGTGGAAAGGAAAAACTCAATTTTAAAAGGAAGAAACCTCCAGCAGAATAATGAAGTGCAGGACGCCATTCAAAGAAAAAGATTAGACAAGAAGAAATATGACAGAAAGAGGACTGAATAGAGGAGACAGGAATGGAAGGAAATGGGACATAGAGCAAAGAGGGACATAGCTAAGGCAAAGCAGTGGGCGTACAACGAGTTGTATGGGAGACTGGACACTAAAGAGGGCGAGAAGGACTTGTACCGATTGGCAAGGCAGATGGATCAGGCTAGAAAGGATGTGCAGTAGGTTAGGCTTATTAAAGATAGGAATGGTAATGTTCTAACAAGTAAGGAGAGTGTGACGGGAAGATGGAAGGAGTACTTTGAGGAGCTAATGAATGAAGAGAATGAAAGAGAAAGAAAAGTGGAGGTTATAGAAACTGTGGACAAGGAAGTGGGAAAGATTAGTGAGGGTGAAGTCTGGAAAGCTCTGAAAAGAATGAAGAAGGGGAAGGCAGTAGGCCTGATGACATACCACTGGAGGTTTGGAAATGTCTTGGAGAGATGGCAGTGAGGTTTCTGACTCAAATATTCAATGGCATATGTGAGGGTGAGAAAATGCCTCAGGAATGGAGAAGACGTTTGCTGGTGTCCATTTTTAAGAACAAGGGTGATGTACAGAGTTGTAGCAACTACAGGGTAATTAAGTTGATGAGTCACACAATGAAGATCTGGGAGAGAGTTGTGGAAGTAAGACTTAGATGAGAGGTGACTATCTGTGAGCAGTAGTATGGTTTCATGTCAAGAAAGAGAACCACAGATGCCATCTTTGCTTTCAGAATGTTGATGGAGAAGTACAGAGAGGGTCAGAAAGAACTCCATTGTGTCTTTGTGGATTTAGAAAAAGTATATAACAGTGCCAAGAGAGGAGGTGTGGTATTGCATGAGGAAATCTGGAGTGGTAGAAAAGTGTGATAGACTGGTACACGACATGTATGAGGACAGCAGGACAGTGGTGAGATGTGCTGTAGAAGTGACAGATAGCTTTAAGGTGGAGGTGGGATTGCATCAAGGATCGGCTCCGAGCCCCTTCTTGTGGCTCTGGTATGGACCGACTAACAGATGAGGTAGGCAAGAATCCCCATGGACGATGATGTTTGCAGATGACATTGTGATCTGTGGTGAGAACAGGGAACAGGTGGAAGAGAACTTGGAGACGTGGAGGTATGCATTTGAAAGAAGAGGAATGAAAGTCAGCCATAGTAAGACAGAGTCCATGTGTGTGAATGAGAGGAAGGCCGGTGGAACATTGAGGCTGCAAGGAGCAGAGGTCACAAAGGTGCAGGACTTCAAGTACTTGGGGTCCACTATCCAGGAAAATGGGGAATGTGGTAAAGAAGTGAAAAAGACAGTCCAGGCAGGATGGAGTGTATGGAGAAAAGTTTCAGGAGTGATTTGTGACAAAAAGGTGTCAGCACAGGTCAAAGGAAAAGTTTACAAGACAGTGGTGAGACCAGCTATATTGTATGGTCTGGAGACAGTGACATTGACAAAAAGACAGGAGAAAGAACCGGAAGTGGCAGAAATGAATAGAATAGAATAAAATAGAATAGAAACAGCCTTTATTGTCCCACGGATGGGAAATTCAAGTGTAACAGCAGCAACAGTAGCAACAGATAAAAAGATAAAAAAGATTTCACACAAAAGTTCCTAAATGTTAATAAACAATACAATATAAAGAAATAAGATAAGCAATACCAATAATAATGTTCAATACATACTGGAACATTGATAAGGACAGACTATTTACAATACAGTAGTATAGGCAGTGTGTGTGTGTTTTAGCAGAGGTCAGCATGGTATTTAATCCTTATCGAGTTTGCTGGGAGCAGTGATGGTTGTAGAGTCTAACAGCTGCTGGGAGGAAGGACCTGTGGTAACGCTCCTTTGTGCATTTAGGATGCAGTAATCTGTCACTGAATGAGCTGTCCAGTTCAGCAACAGCTTCACGCATGGGGTGGGAGACGTTGTCCAGCAATGATGTTATTTTAGCTAGAGTCCTTCTGTCTCCCACCACCTGCACTGGGTCGAGGGGGCATCCAAGCACAGAGCTGGCCTTCTTGATGAGCTTATCTAGCTGCTTCTTCTCAGCTGATGATAAGCTGCTGCTCCAACACACAACACCACAGAAGATGGCTGATGCCACTACAGTGTCAAAGAAGGTCTTCAGGAGCACCCCCTGCACTCCAAAACACCTCGGTCTCCTCAGCAGGTAGAATCTGCTCTGACCCTTCCTGAAGATGCTAAGATTCTCCTTAGGAGTGACAAGGCTGGATAAGATTAGGAATGAGATCATCAGAGGTACAGCACAGGTTGAACAACTGGGAGATAAAGTTAGGGAGGCCAGACTG